TTGGTGGTGTCATATGATTAAGGGAGAATCATAGACGAAAACAAGGTAAAGTTTGAATATATTTATTCACATATTGATAGATTATTTACCAGTTTAAAACTATGCAAAAACCGCTGTTAAAACCGTGACATACTCTTCTCTATTATGCACTCTTGTTATTATATACAATATTATATAGGCACTAAGAAAAAATATAGGAGATTAGTTGTACATAAAATGCAGTATATAGTACTGTGGGCTAACGCCCTGAAGCTATTCAGAGTATGCAGGAAAGAGCGAGTAAAGAGGCACGAATGCACTTAGATGGGACTAGATTCTTGCAGCTAGACTGATGCAGTCATATGCCGGAGTTACCCACATACCTAACAATTCACCCTCACAACCAGAAGCACTGCAGCACAGTTAAGAAAATATACAAGCTGGTCATGCACAAGCTGTTCTGAGCTTATTTAAAGCCTACTTCAGGACCTTTTTGAATACATGATCGCGTCAGGATTAGATTAGGGATACGGGAATCACATATAGTAATGGTAATTGATGTACGTAGAAAAATCACAAGATACTGCCTTGATGTGTGTGCGTGTATGCCAGTGTTGTAGGTCTCGAGGCCGATCTTGGCCTCAAGACCGGCCTCGAGACCGTTTTCCTTGGTCTCGGTCTCAGTCTTGGCCTCGGAGTGCAATGACTCGGACTCGGACTCGAGGACTCGAGTCGAGGCCGGCTCGAGGCAACTACATACATAGTACACAACTGTACATATTGTAACAATCAGTTTACAAGAATTTAAAACTAAATCTCCTAGGTTTTCTAGATACACGGCCTAATCTGGTAACGTTTTCAATGGCTCGATTAAGATTCTTGTCCCTTTAGTTTGAATCTGCTGTCACTTCATCCCTTTGCGCTTTTTCTACCACTTCTTTCTCTTCTTCTACCACTTCGAAGGTACTAGCACTCTCTCATTTTGTTCAACAAGCTGTGTCATTCTCGTAAAACACAAATGGATCTGTTACTTTGACACGTTTCGTATGACTCGTGTCTCTGTGTTTTTGGCTGACTATACACTTTCGAATATCTACGATGCACTGTTGCGATTTTTCCCTTTTTCCCCCTTTTTCAGATTTTTTTCCTTTTTCCTGATTTTTCCCCTTTTTTTTTATCAAAACTGGACTCGGACTCGGACTCGGGTGGTGTAGACTCGGACTCGGACTCGGGTGGGTGGACTCAGACTCGGACACTTCGCGGACTCGGGGAGTGCGGACTCGACTACAACACTGGTGTATGCATGCGTGAATGCATCATTAGAAACCTTTAGATCGATATTTTCCTATTGTTTTATTTTATATAGGAAGTGACACAGTACTAACATTAACTTTCAATTTATCCTGATTACTTAAATGGATACATGACCCTTGGTTCCTTGCATATTTTCACTTAAAATAGTCCTATATTATGCTATATGAAAAATTTCATAGCTCAATATTCATTAGAAAATATTTTTGTTCATGTTTTAAAACTGACAGCTACGCCGTTGCTTACAACGACGGTGGTGCCACTACAAGTGCATCCCCTGAAAAAGTTGCACAACGCAATGTTTTGGCTGCTGGGTGTAGACCAGGGTACGTTCCGGCAATACCCTTGGGGACATAGACCACATGTGTCTAAACAAAGGAATTGCTCCGACCTGTGATTGGAGGATAAAAATAGACCCCGCCCACTCCCGCCGCATACGCTATGCTATGACCGGTAAGAACGTGTACTAACTATCATATGGAGCAAACGATTCGAGTTACATTTCTATAAATTCTACCTATTATAGACACATGTCTTAGCCTTAATCTCTGCGAATTTTGAGTCTATTGAAGCGTGATTAGTCTAATTAATTAGCAAATATGCACGCGCGGCTATGACCGGTGAAACGAAACGTCACGAATTCTATTTTTAACCCTCCAAAAATGGAAAAGTGGGCGGGGTCTATTTTTATCCTCCAATCACAGGTCGGAGCAATTCCTCTGTTTACTCGCATGTCATAGACCCTATGAGCGTCACTGACACTGACACTCACAGGCACTTGGAACATCTCAATAAAAAAAATTAATGGTAAATAAACACGAAATGTACCAAAGTCTTAATGTTTCTCTACTCTATTTCGCCTATAATCACCTGTAAATGCCGGTCAAATGCTCATCTGCAACACACAAGTACACCGCACGCCTGCCCTGTGCTGCGTGCACAAACAACATTAATAAGAGAGCAACTAGGAAAGCGTGATCGCTAAATTCGCTCGACGCTTGCTTCATAAAAACAGTATAACTGTTCATAGCAATGCGATCCATAGAGGTCCATCCTTTCCCTTTTGTGAAGTTACAAAAAGCGCCTGACAAGGATCTGGCATCATGTTATGATGAGCATTATTGGCTGAAAGTACCTCACATTACTACCAAGTATGTCGTGAACAGCTGTAGCCCAAATTGCTATCCCCACTTTCTACGCTAATGAGAGCATAAGAAGAAGATAATAAATCATTATTGAGCGAGTGCTGGATATAGTCAGTAAGCAAACCATGTTAAATTCAGAGGCCTCACTGCGCTATGACTTCCTGGTCCTTGAGAGTTTCAAACCTTGAAGCAGAGAAGGCGAAGAGAGATAACAAATTGGGCCACAGATAAGAGGCATGAGGAAGGCATGCTCACAACTTAATAGCTCTGGACCGGTGTCAACATCTCACAGTACATCTTTAATTATCTTAGCAGACAAGTTAAAATTGCAAGTAAGTAATATAAATAAAATAGTGGCCCCTCCCTTCACCCATGCCTGCCGTGGGTCTCCGGTATGGAACACCAAATTCTCTGTCTGTAGCGATGCATCTAGCTTCCCTATGCACTATTGAGCGATAACTGAGAAAAACAACAAGACCAAATACAAGACTCCATTGCTATTATCTAAGCCACGCTAGCCTGCAGTGTATATATACAATGATTATAATGAGGAACACTAAGAACAAAATTATAGAGATTAAGTTGTACAGTAAACTCATATACTATACTTAGTGGCTAACGCCCTGACTGCTCTCAGAGTAAGCTCAGGAAAGAGCGAGTAAAGACGGCACGAATGCACTCTAAGATGTGATTCTATATTCTTGCAAGCAGATGATGCAGTCATGATGCCGGAGTACCACATACAACACGAAAGTCAACCTCACAACCAGAAGACTGCAAGCACAGTTAAGAGGAAATAATTAAAAGCATGGTCATGGACTAAGCTGTTGAGGCTTATAGAAGCCTACTTCAGGATCTTTTTGATACATGACGGCGCAGGATTAGATTAGGGATACGGGATGACATATAGTAATGGTATTAACGAATGTACGTAGAAAAATCACAAGGTACTGGCCCTGATGTGTGTCTTAGGCCCCGTGATTGTAGGTCTCCGAGGCCATCTTGGCCTCAAGACCGGCCTCCGAGACCTGTCTTCCTTGTCTCCCGGTCTCAAGTCTGGCCTCGGAGTGCAATGATCGGACTATCGACTCGAGGACTCGAGTCCGAGGCGCCTCGAGGCAACATACATACATAGTACACAACTGTACAATAATGTGGAACAACACAGTTTACAGAATTAAAACTAAATCCCTAGTTTTCAGATAACACGGCCTAATCTGGTACTGGTTTTGCATGACGCTCGATTAAGATTCTTGGCCGCTTTAGTTTGAATCTGCTAGGTACTTCATCCGCTTCGGCGCTCCTTGCTATCCGACTTCTTCTCTTCTTTACCAGCTTGTCGAAGGTCCTAGCGACTACTCTCATGTGGGTTCAACAGCTGTCATTCTCCGTAAAACACAAATGGACTCTGTTACTTTGACACGTTCGTATGACTCGGTCTCTGTGTTTTTAGCTGACATACACTTGCGAAATTACGAGCACTCGTTGCATTTTGTTCCTTTCCCCCTTTATTCAGATTTTTTTCTTTTCCTGATTTTCCGCCTTTTTTTTATCAAAACTGACTCAGGACGGTGTAACCTGGACTCGGACTTCGAGGTGGGTGGACTCTGGGGGGGTGCTGACTCGGCTATGTGCGGACTCGACTACAACACTGGTATGCATCGTGAAGCACATTCAGAAACATTAGATCCGACTTTTCCTATGTTTATTTTATATAAGGATGACACAATCGTACTAACCAGTAACTTTCACTGCATCCGATTACTTACACATGAACATGGACACCTTAGTTCGATATTTCACTAAAATATCCGATAATGTATGCAGACGAAAAATTTCATATGTCAATATTTTCATGTAGAAATATTTTTGTAATAGTTTAAAACTGACCGCGTACGCCGTGCTTAGCAACGACGGTTGGTGCCACTACAATGCAATCCCCTGAAAAAGTTGTACAACGCAATGACTTGGCGGCTGGGTGTAGACGCAGGGTAGACTTCCTGCAGCACCGCTTGGGACATAGACCACTATGCGCCTAAACAAAAGACATTGCTCCCGACACATGTGGTCTGTGAGTGACGATAAAAATAACCCCGCCCCTCCAGCCCATACGCAGGGATGCTAGACCGTAAGACCGTGTTACTAACATCATATTGAGCAAACGATTAAGTACATTTCTATTGCAATCCCATTATAAGACACCATGTCCTAGCCTTAATCTCTGTGAAGTTGAGTCATGAAAGCGGATATCTAATACATAGCCAAATAGTAATCGCACCGCGCCGGCTAGGACCTGAACCGAAACGTCACAATTCTATTTAAACGTCCTCCAAACAATGAAAAGTGGGCGGGGTCTTATTTTTATCCTCCAATCCACAGATCGGAGGCAATTCCTACTGTTTACATGCATGTCAATTAACCCTATGAAGCGTCACTGGAGACACTGACAACTCACACAACACTGAAAACATGCTTCAATAAAACAAATAATGGTAAATAAACACGAAGGTACCAAAGTCTAATGTTCTCTACCAGTTCGGCCTATAATCACTTAATGCCGGCAAATGCTCATCGCAACCCACCAATACATTAGAACGCACCTCCCGGCTCGCGCCGGCTGGCGGCACAACAACCTGACGACCCAGAGAGCAGCGCCCACCCCCAAAGCAGATTGCGCACACACCCCGCCCCCCCTCCTCGCACCCCTCGCTTCATTAAAACCATCACAGCTCGCATACCCATCCTAACAGCTTTCCAACTGTATCTATTGACATTAAATCCACATTTGTTCAATTAAACCTGGCCTTTGTCTATACCCGCCAGAGATATCATTCGTGAAATCTCAGGAAATCGTTCTCGAGCCCGTGAAGAATGTAAAAGAGAGATGTTGTTCTATCCACGATAATGGGGCCCGCATTGCATGCCGGATACGCTGCCGCCTCGAGGCCCATTTCGCGAGGCCGCGCCAAGACCAAGCACAATGCGCACCGGGACATACGTCACAGTAATCGCGTCACGTTTTGTCGGCACTTGGGTGATATCGCACACGACAACTACAGCGATCGAGATAAAGTAAGTGCCGTAGGATTTTCGATGATCCACCGTCCACTTTACATTATCACGGAAGAACATTTCCTGCAGGATTTCATGAGATAATCTCGGCGGAGTAGAAACAAAGACCAGAAGTTAAGATCGAACAAGTGAACATTTATGTACCCAGATATCCAAAGGAAAGCTGTAGGATGTGTATTGAGCTGAATGGTTTGAAGATGAAGCGATGCGTCGGAGCCGAATGTCAATCCCGCTCTCCTACCTGCTCTCTTCATTGTTTGCGCACCGCAGCACAGGGCGGGCGGCGGGGCATGACTTTGTGTGCAGATGACAATATACCCGGCATGGACAGGTGTTATAGCGAAATAGAGTAGAGAAACTAAGACTGGTCACTTATCGTTCTTACCATTTAATTTTTTTATTGAGACGATCCAAGGCCTGTGCTGACACATTAGACTGCTTACGCTTGCTGCCTCATATAGGGCTCAGTCCCCAGGGTACGGCGGAACGGTACCCTGGTACGGTCCGTATACACAGAACGTACCATTCACTTATTGCAAGGTAGGTGTTAAGGATTAGGGTTAGGGTAGAGTAGGGTTCGGCGTTCGGTCGAGATAGCGCGATAGGCGGTAGAAGAGGGGCTCCCTAGAACTCGTAGTGGGAGTGGCGACGCGTCGTCGAGCAACTAAATAGACCAGGGTAACGCTTCCGGTTAGTCGCGAACCGGCCGGACGCCAGTCCTCCGGCAGTACGCCGGGGACATAGACCATCACCTCACTCTTAGTCTAGTCACTCTTATACTTAGACTGAGTCCCGAGTAGCAAATTGACTGCAATATGGATG